CTAATAATATAAAATTAATATAATAAAAATATATTAAAATAAGTAAAAATTTATTAAAAATAATATAACTAAAATTTATATAATTTATAACTAAACGTATCAAATATTTGTTAAAATATTTTTTAAATAATTGAAAAAAATTTCTTAATTCTAAAATTTTTGCATTTTGTGAATATTTTGCTTACTTTGAGCCACAAAATCTCTAACATCTCATAGTTTTTAGTGACAAAGGAAAGCACGAATTTAAATTAGAAATGTAATACTACAGCTTAGAATTTTGTTTTGAGCAAAATGATTTTCAAAAGCATAAGTTTCGAAGGTCAAAACTTTGTAAATCATTACAAATAGCCCATATTGATTTAAATTTGTTTATGATGATTTACAAAGTTTTGCCCTCTAAAACTTAGACTTCTGAAAATTATTTTTGTCGAAACAAAATTCTAAGTTGTAGTATTACATTTCTACTTTAAATTTGTGCTTTTTTTTGTCACTAGAAACTATGGGATGTTAGAGATTTTGTAGCTCAAAATAAGTCAAATGCTTACCAAAAGCAAAAATTTCATAATTAAAAAACTTTTAAATTATTTTTAGCAAATATTTGATGTGTTTAGTTATAAATTATATAAATTTTAGTTATATTATTTTTACTATATTAATTTTATATCATTGGTCTTGTTAAATGATTATTAAGTTAGATTCCAACTTAATTATTTAATAAGTTTTTTTAAGAAGACTAAAAAAATTGAAAGTTTTTATTATGATATATTTAAACTAACTAAAATAATATTAACTTTGATATATTAATTTAAATTATTAATAATATAATTGATTCATATGAATGATAATAATATTATTAATATGATGTTGTTAATAATTAATTATATATAATAAAAACTAATATATTAGAGGAACTAAAATATTTTTAAAATTTAAATTTTGAAAAAACTAAAAAATTCAAAATATATTTTTTTATATTAGAGGGATTAAATTTCGAATTTCATGCTAGTATAAAGGTTAAATTTCAAAATTTATTCAAGTATAAAGACTAAATTTCAAATTTTGTATGAGTATAGGGATTATTGCATTATTCAACAACTGATTTCATCAATCCTAATTGGCACGTCAATAAGTCAATGCCACATCAACATGGTCAACTACCACGTCAGCATGGTTAACAACCATGTCAGCATTGGCAAAGGCCATGCCAACTATTTAAAGGAAATCAAGTAACACTGTTATCAATTGAACAGATATTGTTAAATTAAACTAGTATAAGGATCTAATTTTTGCAAATTATTGTATTAAGGACTAAAGTTCAAATTTCATACAAATACAAGGATTAATTGCATAATTTGACCTTAATCGAATAAAACCCATAAAATGCCAAGGCTTTACAAGGGCATTGTAAAGGGTTACAATTATGATATCTTTATACATCAAAACCATGTTCCTAAAATTTTTTCTGGTCATTGTATTATTAAAGTAAGGCACCAACAATGCTCAAAGACTGGTACATGTTAAACATTCTTACTTTTGAAATAAGTAACCGAACTTATGAGTTAAAATACAAGAATATTTGAGGATAATATGTGGGTGCTTGTTAAAGAATAAGTTCATTAAACATAGCCCACTATGAGAACTCCATTTTTGTATTTCACTTAAGTATCTATTGAAATATTCTCATGTGTTAGTTGTGTAACTAGTCTTAAGACTTGAGACACCAAGTCATCTTGTATGTGAATCATCATACTTTGATTTCATCTCTGTAGGTCAACGTGCTTGATGCTTAAAAAGGGAGATTTTTGGTATTGTCTGAAGCATGCGAAGGTGAATGAATGCTTAAGAGAAGATTCATGACCCCAAGTGTTATAAAGGGATGTATGTCATTTGTTCTTGGCTTTAGTTAACTCATAAAGTCTTCGACCGAAGCAAGATAAATTTAGAAGAAACAGTTTCTTGCTAAATTCATACATGTTGACTAGAAACTACAAAAACTAACATGAAAGGTATTCATGGATAAATAGTACACTATACTCATGGCCTTTTAGGATATATGATGGAAAGATTGAACTACATTGATATAATGAACACTAAAAGGTTATGTCGAGACTATCTTGACTCTTTAACATTTAGGTGGTCATGTTGTATTGCTAGATTCCGCTTATGATCTATGAACATAATTTGAATATCTTTATTCGATTTGGATTTATATTGATTTTAAACATATTGGAAGCCTAATGGTCACACACATGAATCACAATGTCAAATTAAAATTGGGATTCAATTATGTAGAACTTAATTGAATAAAAGCTAAATATGTGAAGGCATTAATTGAAGTGTTCAATTAAAGTATTAAAGTTAATTGGCCATTTTAATTCTAAATTAGGGCTACAACAAGACAAAGCTTATATATATGCATAACCCTGTGACTGTGCCAAAAACAACCCTAGAAAAGCATATAGATATATGCGGCTATCATCTTTTTCCCTTCATATTTTCTTCCTAGCCTAACATTTTAGAGAACATGAAGAAATAGTTCATCCATTAACGTTCAACCATGGAGAAAAGAAAACTTTTGATTTAGGCCTTTGAGCCACTTTGCTAGCATAAGGGTTCCCTATACCTTGGAGAAGTATTTAAATTTATAGGTGTGTGGATCACCATTTGAGGTCAAACACTTGGGTGGCTTTAGGTCTCAAGATTCCATAGTGTTCAAGCAGATCAAAAGTTGTTCTAACTTAATGCTATGATATCTTTGAGTTAAGGTATGACTCTAATCATATAGAAGATTATGAAAACTATTTTTAACTTCAATTAATGTTATTAAGTGATCCTTAAAGGATTAAATTTCATTTGTTTGATTTATGCTTTTGAATTCTACTTCCACTATGCATGAATTATGTTTGAGCATGATCCAAAACCTAACAAAAATATATTTCAAATTTTTTAGTGAAGCAAATTTTATTTTATACTAGACTCTCTAAACTTTTTAAATGACAAAGATCACTTAATTCTAACATTAGAGGTGAAGATTATGGTTATTTAAAGTTGGCATTATGAACTAAAGTGTCAATCGAGACTTCAAAGTATTGGTTGAGTTTATATTGTTTGGATCATGTGTCAATCAACACATTGAAGTTTTGATCAACCCTAAACTGAAACAAATCCACATTTTGAATAGCTAGTCAATTTAGGACCTTTCTAGATCAAAATTTTAAGTATTGGGTCGATAATATGGTGTATGGATCAACAATTTCAAGCCAAGAATCATATTTTTAATTTTTATTTGAATTATTCATTGATTTATCTTAAACAACAATAATTATCAATTTTTTTGATAAATACGAATTTTTTTTATCAAATCTAGATCATTCATCAACTTTAATCTCATCAATCCATTGCATTTAACTCCAACTTTAAATATCCTTTTCCATTTCACATTCAAACCATCCTAGAACATTCGAAAAACTTCTCAAAATGTTTTTTTTCTCCCTAGCTTGTCTCGTTTTTAATATTCTTCTCAAAATTTGAAGAAATTCTTAAGCCTGAACTCAAAAAGTCTAGCCCAAAAGAACCCAAGCTATAAGAGTCCTAGCTCAAGGTGTCCAATTCCCAAAGAATTCAAGCCCAAAAAAACTCAATCCCTAAGGCGTCAAAGCCGAATGAATCCAAGTCCCAAGAAACCCAAATAATCTAAGCACAAAGAATCTCAAATGCCCATCAAGCTCAAGAAGTCCAAATTCCCAAGGGGTCTTAAATAGTTTCGGTCCATGCGACACTTTACATCAAGAGTTCAAGTCAAAAAAAAAAAAATTGACCCGAAGATTCTCACTCCAATTAAACTTATGCAGCGGAATAATAGAAACATACCAATTGTCGAATTTTTCTTATGATCATACTTGTGCTATAACTTGTTATTCAAAGTATAATAAACACACGTGTTAGAATTCATATCAAGTAAAAAAATCTCTCACCTATAAAGATTATGCTTGATGCATAAGATAATAAATAAAATAAGATGATAATTATTCAATATCATATTTGGTTTGTTTATAAAAAAAGAGATAAGAATGCAAAAAAAATTAATTATTTTTTTAATATAGGATTATTCAATCTTCTCAAATAGAGATGATTGTTTTTAATTCATAGAATGAACTTATATATTTTATTATATATTTAAAAATTGTATTAATAATTTAAATTATATAAACTTTGAGAAAGGATAATTTTGATTAATAAATAAAATTATCATTTCTTAATCTTTACACACATCAATCAAACATAAGATAAGATATCATTATTTAATTTAATTCTATCATATATAATTTTATCATATCTTATTAATAATTTTTTGTACCAAGCATGATGTAACGGAATGAATCGCATAAGAGGCATGATACAACATTTTCTAAAGAATCGTCATATGTACTCTCTCTCTATAAAAATTATAGATAAAATTAAAAACTAGAAAAAAACGATACTTTGAATAGAAAAATACTTTAGATTTGTGCTTCCTAAAAAAAAAAAAAATTCTAGAATTTTTCTTTTCTTTTGAAAGAAGTTGTGCTTATAAAATTATATCCAGCTTCATAATAATAAACTCTTGTTCTTCATATGAGTCACCTAAACTCTAATGAACTATTTTCAAAACTCATTGTTTTTCAATGTGAATCTTTTCGTGCACCTTAAACAAACACTTAAATTGTTGCCCATCCTCTTCTGCTCCATATTATTTATGCAAACAGTCACTTTTCATTCCCTTCCAAAGCAGCTTTATTTTTACAAGGTTTGTATATTAAGTTCATGTCTTCCTTATCCCTTAATTTAATTTTCCTTTCTTTTTTTGCTCAATTTGAAATTAATTTAATTATATATATGTGTCTTTATATATAAATGTATTTAGAATGAGATTAATGATGACTATCTAAATCCAGCATGCACATTTGTCAATTGTTAAATTATTTAGTTTCATTTGATATAAATTGATCATCTTTATTAGGATGCAAAGGTATAATAATAACGGTGTAGCAGCAGCATCAGGAGTACATTCAGCATGTGCAGCATGCAAGCATCAAAGGAAAAAGTGCGATGAAAATTGCATTTTGGCACCTTATTTTCCAGCAGATAAGTGTCGAGAATTTCAAGCAGTGCACAAAGTTTTTGGTGTTAGCAATGCAACAAAAATAGTGCGCAATGCCAACAGCGAAGAAGATCGAAAGAAGGTTGCTGATTCGTTGATTTGGGAGGCATTTTGCTGGCAAAAGGATTCAGTGTTAGGGCCTTATGGAGAGTATAAGAAAATTTACGAAGAGTTCACCTTGTACAAAAGGCAAAACCAAATGATGCTCCTGCAAGATCATAATGAGCCTCAGGTTTTGAAAATGGCAACTGCCCATGCCCATGCTCATGCCCATGCTTCTATTACACCTACATGGAATATTAACAGTAATGCTAAGAGACTAGTAGATGATGTTAAAGGATCGATTGGCAATGCTGCATTGCGGTGCTATAATCAGCAGGATGCCCATGGAAATTCTCTTGTTGGTTTCAGTGGATCATATGGATATCCTATTCCTTCTCACTCTGAGAAACTAGCAGTGCAAGAAAAAGGCATCCACAATCCACTGCAATATTACACTACGTCTGGTAAGTAAATTTACCCAATTCTCATTTCTTTCTTTCTTTCTTTCTTTTAATTTCTCATTAACTTGTATAACATCATACATCAATACCCACCTTAATTTCCCTCTCTTTAAATATTTAAAGAAAAACTCTAACTACAGACTACGTACTACTAAACTAACTAATTAAATAGGAAAGTTTGAATCTGACTTTATTTTTAATTTTGATTTTTCTTTTCTTCTTCTATTGGGATGTAGGTCTTATCCATGGCAAGACATTGGAAAGTGCAAGATGGGATAACGTACTATAGTTCTTAATTTCTTCTCTATTTAGACAATACTATGTGTTGGAAAATTAATTGAATTTAGCATGCATGACTTGCAGGTGGATTCAACTTCTTATTTATCTACAATTCAATGTTCTTTTTTAGCTATATCTCTTTGTCCTTTAATCCTCCAATATTTCAACAAAATATTTTTTTCCTTTCTTTATAGTGGACTGCTCTTTCGGAGAATGAGTCATTGAAATATATGTATATATGGCCAACTAAAAGACATGGCTTTCCGAATAAAAGAACAGTACATTGGCCAATAACATTTAGAGAGTAGTTGGTATTGAAGTGATTTATTCAAAAATTATAGTAATCTGTATTCAGTAATTACTATTCAATAATTACATTACTTTATTTGATAGTAATTTAAAAATTTTACATGACAGTGATCTTAAATCACTAGTGTGATAAGATCACTATCTTAGGGAGTGATCTGACTCCCAACCTAAAGGATAAAAAAGTTTTATCACCATGAAAAAGAAATTTTCAATATTATTTTTTGATTAATTTTCCTTCACAAAAAATATAACTAACATTACCCAAAAAAGCTAGTCACCAAAAATTTTAAAAAACTAGTTTTTTAATCACTTATTCTAAAAATATTTTATGTTATAAATTTATATTGATTAGAAAAATGATAATGAATTTATTTAGTACTTTTTTAGAAATTATTTTTATTAAAATTGATTTATACTTTGTAGTTTCTATAAAATAACATTTAACTATTTTATAAATTGTTGATTTAGTAAATATTAAATATTTTACTTTTCTTTTAAGATTATTTTGGTTATTTTGTACTATATGATTTATTTTTTGATATAACACCAAACAGAAATGATTTAAAAATACTAAAGATTTTATGGTATTGTTTCAAAAATGATAATATAAGATGAATGATGATCAAATTACCTTGACAATCTTATCACCATGATAATTACATTACTGCAATAATCTTGAAAACGTCATCAAATGCTACCTTAGAGTTAATTACACATTATGACACTCAAATTATAAAAAAAGAATGCAACTTGATTTATGAAATAATAATAATAATAATAATAATTTTTACATTGAATTTTCAAAATGTGTATCATTTGAATTTAAATTTAAATTTTAACATCATTAATTTAGCATATTATTGACTAAGCAAGATGACGCTTAGCTAATACAATCATGCCATGTGAGCACCACACATGAAATAATATATTTTGAATAATTCTTTAAATTTATACATAGATGCCACATGGTAATTTACGATTAGTGGATTTTAGATAAAATACCTAAGATAGAAATAAAAAATTGATTTTTCTCAAAAAGCTAATTCAGATTTTTAAATTTATGTAATAAAATTTGTTTGGTATGATATTAAAGTAGACTTTTTGTTAACTCCTTTACAAGCGATAAATATATGATTCTATAAGTATTCTTCGGTAGTAAAATTTAAAAAAGGAGAAAAAGAAATGATTAAAAATATAAATTAATGTAATTAATTTTTTAAAAATAAAATTATATATCAAATAACTAAAAACTACTTAAGGTTTTGAATACTTTTTTATTAAAATTTTTTCATTCAGTAATTTATAAAATGAATTATCCAAATGCCAATGAAAACTTATATTTAATTTAGACATCTAAAATATTTTTTCAATATTCAATGAGTTTTGAATTTTATTTTGATAATAAATTGTGAAATTGTTCAATGGGCTCTAGTCATAAAGTTGTATTTTAAGGCTATATCAAATGGCACAAAAGGATTTTTATTTGTTATTTTATTTTCATTTTCATTTTACTAATTTTTATTTTATTTTAATTTTAATTTTTTGTTATTTGGTAAAGAAAAAAAGAGAAAACCAACATTTAAATTGTGAAAGGGAATCTATTTTTTTTTTTTGTTTTGTAGAAATTTGAAATTTAAGAATTCAATTGGTTTTGGAAATACTTGAGCTCTAATCTATTGATAAAGGAAAAAAATCCAAAAAAATCTTGACAAAATTTTGATAGATTCAATTTCATTGAGATTTTCCTATTCAATTAGGCATTTGAGTCCCTATAGGATAATGAGCAATCAAGCATAAGTCAACATGCAATAATTAGCAATACACAAGCAAACAGAATAATTTCAAGAAAAAAAGAGTCTATGAATTTGAGAAATTATTTTGGTCTGAGTTTTTGAAAAAGGCTTTTAGGGTTAGTTTATTCTTGGAATTTGTTTGAGGATTGTTAAGGTGATTTTAAAAAGTACTGAGGAAGTCGTTCGGGGATTTCTTTTGATTTTCAAGTTTATGGGATTTTTGGATCTTTTGAAATTTCTACGATTTTTCTGAATTTGGGTTGAATTTCTAGTTTTTTGTTAAATTTCTATTTTTTTAGTTGATTTTTTTAATTTTTCGATGATTGTTTTGAATTTTCTGCCAAGGTGTGCGGCAACTAAAGAGATTCATAGTGGCCATTTTTTAGAATTTACGGTGATTTTTGGATTTGGTTTAAAGTTACGATGACTGTTGTACTATACAACATCGAAATATGGGAAAGTTGCTAGTGTTTGGAAAATTTTAGGTTTTTTAGCATAAGCTTTTAGAAAGAAATTAGAGATTTTTTCAATTAGAGGGAAAAAGAACTAAGGAAAAAGATTTTCAACTTTTATAAGCTATACAAAATGGTATAGTTTTGAGGACTAGTGACCTGCATGCCACTCCATGCCTAACTTAACCCACTTTGCAAGGTTTTCCCTTTTTATAATTTTTTTTTTATTTTTTGTTTTCTTTTATTTATTTTATTTTTTATTTAAATTCTAATAGTTTAATTTTGTTTAAATTTTCTATTAATATTTTCGTTAATTTGATTTGGTTTTGTTTACTAGGAAACAATGAAAAAAGAAAAAAGAATGAAAAGATTATAACTAAAAAAGTTTTGATGTGAACTTTTATGGTACACGTTTATGATATTTTTGCATGAATTTTGTTGATATTTTTGCATGATTATTTTTATGACATTATTGCATTTTTTTTTATCGCATGATTTTATTACGATATTATTGCATAATGATATTTCTGCAAAGTGTTTATTATGATATTATTGCATTATTTTTTTATGATATTTCTGTATGATGTTTATTATGATATTATTACATGATTTTTTCATGTTAACTTTTTATGATGCTTTTATGATATTTTTGCATGATACTTTCATGATATTTTTCTATTATACTTTTTATGACATTTTTGTGTGAAATTTTGTGTAAATAAATAAAAGGGGAATAAATTGTTCTTTGACATAAGATATATAATAAATCCAATGATAAAGCCTATTCAAGGGAATAGTGTGTTTTTCTTAAATACTTTTGAAGCGAGAAAAAAAATTTCCTTTGACAAAAGCCTAAAGATTTTTTTCCAATATTTAAATATCAAAATTAAAATTAAAAAAAAAAACCTTTTTTTAAGGCTTAAACAAGATAGCATAAGACTAATTTGGTACTAATTTTAGATGTTGTAGGGTATTAAAACTTTTGTTACACATAACTGACTCCTAAACCTAGTTTTATTTATATAGACTAGAACCTATTCTTTTTAGGAACCTTTAGTTTATACTTAAGACAACTTTAAAAAAGATAGATTCACTTAGCTAGCCTATCATACCTTGATTAAAAAAGATTGGTACTGACTCTATATTTTTATATCTAATAAGCAAGTTCTTAGACTTGAACTTTATGAGAGTTTGGTGACACCATTGCAGATAATAGAGAGTCAAGCTAGTTGTTTGTCATATGTTATTTTAAGTCTTATTTTGATGATTTCTATTATTTATTTATGTGATTATTTATGATTTTTTTATATGCACTAATTTAATGTTTATTTTGTATTTTTGTATAGCATTTTTCATGGCTACTAATCTATTTGTTTATTTTGTTTTTTCTTTGTATAGCATTCAAAAAAAAAGGGTTGGTATATTCCTTCACACACATCACACATGTACATTCATGCATAAGCTCTAGACTCAAGCTTTTTCTTTCTTAGAAGAGAGTGAGTATCTACACTTTTGTGAGGTGATAACCTTCGTATAAGCTAGTGAAAGACTCCCACTTAAATTAAACATTTTCGTTTAAGCCTATAATAAGTAAAGATTAGGGAGCCTTACTAATCTATATTTGATAATGACGTGAGAAATAATTTGGGATCCTTTATATTGTTGCGGCCTCTAAACCCGGTATATAAATAAACCCTAAAAATCCAAACCTAAGTTAGAACCCTCCCTTCCCTTTTGTATAGAAAACCCTAAGGCGGTATTTGGTTTGCAGAATCTTAGATTTAGAAAGAAAGTGTGATTTTTGGGAAAATGCAATACCTGAGGTTTTCTTCCATTTTCAAGGCATCCTGTATTTAGATTTACTCATTTGTTACGAAGAATCCACGTATATTAATTCTTATATAATTACCATAATCTTTTTGACATATATGATAGCAATTTTTTTTATTTTATTAATAATAAATACCCAAACGACATATGACGCCTTTAGCAGCAAAAGAAAACAAATATTTTTATTTGATTGTGGTTTTTATTTATAAAATATCATCAATTGAGGCATTTGGCACTTTTTATAGTAACAAAAATTGATAGAAAAAATTATAAGAAAAAAATATCAATTAATGCATTTGCCACTTTTTTTATATCAAAAAAAATTTTTAAATGCTCTTTTAATTTATTTATAAAATGATCATTTAAGGCATTTTTATATAGAAAACATCTTAAGTAATCTTTTTTATATGCATATAAAATGATTATTTAAGGCGTTTTCTGTACAGAAAAACCTTAAATAATTCTTTTAAGTTTTTTATATTATGGACCATTTAATAATTATCTTTTAAAATATAAAAGGATTATTTTAAGGCATTTTTGTATAGATAACACCTTAAATTATCCTTTTATAAAAATATTAATCCTAAACCCTAAATCCTAAAATATAAAAAGATTATTTAAGTTGT